GGCCTGCAGTTCTTTGGATGTTGTTCTGGGGTCTTTTGTGAACTCTTGGATGAGTCTTCGGCCGGCCACAGCCGCGAAGCATCACCACTGTTCAGTTTTTTCGCCATTTGTGGATAATGGCGCTCACTGAGGTTCACTGGACTCCCACAGCTTTAGAAATGGCTTTATAACATTTTACAGACTGAAAGATCTTAATTATGTTGTTTCTCATTCTCAGTTCCTGAGTTTTCTTTGGAATGCAGCATGATTTCTGGCTTTTGAGTCTGCTCCATTTTGTCAGGGAAGTCCTATTGAAGTGATTTTTTGATTGAGCACAGGTTTGGCAGTAATCAGGCCTGGGTGTGGTTAGAACAGAAATTAACTCTGGTGTATCTCTAACTGGGGGTGCAGTAGGCAAGACTTGTGTTGTCTTTTTCTAATATTTACATTTGTTTGATGATCTGAAAAATTTAACTGCGATAAACACATACACACACAAAAAGGAAATCAGGAGAAGGACTAACACTTCTCTATATCTCCATATCTTCTCACTGTATCTCTGCAGGACAGTGTGTATAGATACAGAACACATATACAGTGCCCTTTTGCAGTTTTGCCTTTGCCCACCATTACAGTTAATTGTAAATCAATCAATATGATTAAAGTGGAGACTTTCAGCTCTAATTCAAGGGATTATACAACAATTTTGCACGAGATGTTTAAGAATTGCAGTCATTTTTATACACAATTTCCCATTAAAATAATGGGACAAACTAACATAAATTTAAAGAGTATTTTTTAATACTTGAAAACAAACTCTTTACAGCCGATATCTGCCAGAAGTCTCCACCCTGGAGTTGCTCTGCTACACCTTAACTGCAGCCCCCAGTTGCAAAATTACACTACAAAAAACTGTCTTTGTTTCAAACATCATGAGTGCACTGTATACTTACCTCTAACACAAGTTTCATAAAATATCCTATTATTTAGTCATCTGTCCCATTATTATCTCTTTTCTTTTATCTCCCACTACCCATTTTTACCATGAACTACAGGACTGACGTGACACACAATAAAAAAATAAATTATCACAAATCAAAACTGATATACTAAAATAAAATTAAGCAAGAGAAGCTACAATTTAAGGAGGGGGGGTGATGTTCGAATCCACACATGTTGCAGCTGTTTTCCATCACAATCCTGTTAAAACCCCCAGATTTACAGACCATCTTCACACACACACAACAGCTGAGTGCAAAAAACGCCACACCTTTCCAGATGTTTTATTTGAAGATTTTTGGACATTGCCTTAACATACAAGTTCAATTTTCACATTTCATTCCCCTGCGACCTTTACCTTTAATGTAACCCCTATGTACAAGTATTGCAAATTAGTCATGGCAATAATTAAGGTTTTCACTCATGCTAAATGTCCTCTAATGCATAGTTTGGACCAAAGGGCTCCAAGTCTCAGCCCTTTGTGTGTTTCTTCTTTGATGACTGGATGCACAGCTGTGGGTGCCAGCAAGGTCCACAAGTCAAAGAGTCTACCGCCCGAAGCACATTACCCTGATGTAGAAAACCAGAACTCTGCTGCTCTCGACTCAAACCGGCTTGCAGATGATTCAAAATGTTGATGAATGACAAAAAAATGTCAATCTCTGCAGGAAAAAAGTCCTTCTTTAATACAGCTTTTAACTGTGTCACTGTGCAGTAAAACTCCGAACAGTTTCCACATTTTATTTCATGCCATTTAAATAGTTCTCATCTTTTCTACAATATCATGTTTTTTAAGATCCACAAAAGCCTACATATTACCGTAACATACAATGATTATCTGTGAAAACAGCTCTTCCTGAGAAAGGTATGTAGTTCGTAAGAGTTTCAGTTCTTCTCATACAAACAAAATAAGGCAAGTAAAGATTGTCTGGTAATCTTTTGTTTTGCATTTTGTTTCCAGAGTGGCCTCTGACATTTCTTTAAAAAAACAAAAAAAAAAGTAATCGTGATGTCTGAAAGTCAAATTTCCCTTGCTCCACATTCTTAAAAATCTTATAGGAACGGCAGCTCAGCATTGCACAGTCCCAAAATCCAAGCGTTCCAGTTGGAAAAATATGTGATTGTGCTTGTGTGGTCGTTGTTGTCCACTTATTTGTCAGTGGGAAGCCCTTAAAGAGTAATGCTGCAGCCAGTTACTGTTTCTCTCCACCTACCATGCGATTTTGAAAATATTAGGGACAGATGTGAAGAGAAATTAGGGACTTTTTGTCTTTTAATTTCAGGAAAATTGCGCCTAAACACCTCGAACTGAAAACCGCCTGCTTATTTTATCCACTGGAGGCAAAACCTTTGCAAGATAAATACAGCACCTGGAAATTTGTGCTCAAATGTATTAATTGTGACAGTCAAGGTTGTCATTAATTAGTAAAAAATACCCCAGTTTATAAGTCCAAATAAAAAGGTGTTTCCCTTTGGAGCTAACACTGTATCACTGGCGCCCGAGCTCAGCTGACGAGGATAAAGTTGGCCTTCATTTGCTTTGGAGGCTAAAATAGCTGCTCACACCAACAGAGCGACAATCCAGTGTCTCTGAAAAGATCTGATTCAACTTCATTCATTAAAGTTTCCCTCACTGAGTTTTCTCCCGAGTCCACTTGATCATAGTCTCTGGCGAGCGGTAAAGGAAGATGAGTTTAGAGTACATGTCCTCCTCAAGGTCCAGCTCCCCCGTCTCTCGCACCAGGAAGATATCGGTGCACAGCTTGAGGATGCGGTCCACGTTGGGCAGCTCCTCGAACATGATGGTGTGGGAAATGCCACTGAAGAACTCGCGCACAAACTTGCCGATGACCAAAACCACAGAGGCGTACAGGCCCATGATACTAAACAGGAAGGAGAAGAAGAAAACATTCAGATTTTGGATTCTTTTAAATTCTTATTTCTCTGACTAGAAATCCAAATATAATGTATCAAAAAGGTAAAACATATGATATTTGACAAAAGCT